AAGTTATGCCAAAATGGGCAACATTAACATTTTTATACATTGTACATTTGATATTTAATGATGATTTAAGTAGAATTATAATATCTTTTTTGTATACCTGATATTTTTTTTTCTACAAAAAATGTTAAAGCTACTCAATTTTTTCTTAATTACGTAAAAAAAGGAAACACGATTGATTATTAAATACTATCAAATGGGCTGCGAAAATAAGAAAGTCGTGTCAATTTTGTCTTGTGTTTGTTTTTCGAACTGAACTAACATCGAATTCCACGTGGACAAAGTTTTGGACGACAACTATTATTACAATTCCATTTTTAAATTATATCTTTGTGTTTCGTTCCAGGTTCAAAGCTGTCCACACTGCAGAAAGTGGACGTAAGCGGGTGTACAGACAACGCGAAGGAATGCATCCTCAAGAGAAACACTAATGTAACCATCAGCCTGGAATTTACACCGAGTTAGTATCTTAAATATATCTTACTAGCTTTCGCACTTGACTCCGTCTGTGCCAAATTAAAAAAATAATTAAAAAAACATAGCCTACGTATATTCTCCATACTTACTGACAAGATGCTTTTTAATGTTAAAAGAATTTATGAAATCGGCTAAGTAGTTTTTCAGTTTTTTCATACATACAAAAAAAAAAATCTTTTTTATAATATTAATATAGATTAAAAAACTCTCATATAGCACGCACAAACCTTTAAATAAATAATCGCCCAATTATTTATGTTATGCCGCGTTTAATTCATGTTAGCTTATATAGAGGTGTAGGCGATTTTTACTTGTGCAAAAACGGTTGAATTTCCTGAGAAACAATCGACAATCACACAATAGTTGTGCGATTGTATAGTCATAATGTGCGTCCGTTCCTAATACTTGAAGTATGGCAATATTTCATTACTCTTTAAGTATGTCTGGTATTTTAATATCATGGATAAAACATTCTTTAGTGTTTGAATGAATTTATGGATGATTAAAATCAGAGGTTCCCAAACATTTTTACTTGCTTAATTTTACTGGTTGTGGTTATATTTTATGAATCAGGAGCAAATTAGTGTAAGACAGTTTTTTCGTTTAATAGCAAAGGATATTAAGAATTTGGAGACGGAAGTCCACGGCGTTATCATGAACCTGCCGGTGCCATTCCCGCTGCCGCAGCCGGACGCCTGCAAGGACACCGGACTTAGTTGCCCTTTGAAGGTATGTGTACAAGCTTTCGACCACATCATTTTTTATCACCAAGTGGTAGGCACGAGCTTCTTTATTCCTAACTAGCGATTGCTCGCAACTTCGTCCGCGTGAAATTAAAAAATAATAAAAAAAACATAACCTATGTTACTCACAGATAAATTACCTTTCTAACAGTAAAATTTTTAAAATCGGCCCAGTAGTTTTTAAGTTATTTCAATACAAATCTTTTCTCCTTATAATATCAAGAGAGAAAAAGTCGCCAATTTATGGCTCTTGGTGCATTTTTTTTTATTTAAAACAAGGCCTTAGAAATCTTAGCCACAAACATGGAATGATATAATTTATCTATGTTTGTTTTTTTTTTCAGTCAATTTTTTTTTAATTCCTTTCTCAGCCAGATTTTATTTAACTAGTTTGTTTTTTTATTCCAGGCCGGTGAGGTGGCGAATTATAAATCAACATTGCCAGTGTTGAAGTCGTATCCCAAAGTAAAAGTCGACGTGAAATGGGAATTGAAGTTTGACGAGGAAGACGTTGTCTGCATATTAATTCCGGCAAAAATTAATTAAAACACCATATAACTATTTACAATTATGTCGAAGGAAGAAAGTATGAGGAAATGTTACAGATTTTTCGCGCCTTTTTGAATATTTTTCTGTTAGATTTGACCAAGGAATTTGCATCGTACAGCCAAAAACTTGTTTTGATTTTTTTCGAAACTTAAGATATACGTTCGAAAAATTCAATGATTTAAAAAAAATAACGGAAAATAGCAAATAATACATTTGTCATTTTTTACCCAGTTTATAATTATTGTACAAAATAATCGTAACATTTGTTATGTCTAAATTATATTGGCACTTCTTGCCTCACAGGTTTTTATGTTGTTTCTCACCAAAGTTAATTTAGAAATAGTTTTAATGTGTTTTGTGAATGTATAGTAAATTAAAAAGAAATATAAAAAAAAAAACTTAGTTTTGATTTATGGACCTTTTTTCTTACGTATTACTAGTATATAGTTTCTTTTTTTACCTTTACGATAAGGTTGCATTTTTAATGGGGTATTAAAAATAAAAGACTATCACATACATTTATTGCCCAAGTATAAAAATTCTTCAAGAATTCTTTAAACAAATGTTATCTAACAGCAACAATACTGTGACACCTCGGTGACATTACTGGATCAAACAATTTAACGATATACGATTTTCTATATCCATTCTCAAGTAAATATAGTAATCTATCTAACAAAACAACACTTTCAATAACTTGCGCCAAACATAACCTCAACAAATTGAACATAACAATTTGTTTCCATTGACAATGGAGGTCGTTTGACACATCTGTCAAGTAGCTGTCAGGCAACCTGTCAAATAGTCCCAGTGACAGCACTTTGTCCGCCATCTTGAAGTATTGTGTAAAATTATCACATTTCGAGGCAATTTTTTTTAATTTACCATCCTTTAAATTCGATTTCGGTAAATGAGTTTTTACTATTATCTGAAAAAAAAAAGTTTTAATTATGTCAAATAAGCCAATAAGTCACTGGATAAAAAAATATTTCAAACAAGAAAATAAGTTTCAAATGGTTTAGTAAAATTGACAGGAGAGGGGACAAGCAAGAATATAATTGGCTCTATCCATCTCTTCCCCTAAACCTTTCCTCACATTACCTAATCTGTAGTACACCTAACATTGCTTGGGATCGTGGTCAAGTCATCATCAACCACCTTATTCTACTTCCGTAGGGTCGGCACAACAGGTTTTTGTCCTCCAAATAACTATCGTCCGTCATCTCAGTCATCACTCTCTTCTTGATCATGTCACCTTTCACGCAATACATCCATCTCTTTCTACGTCTACCTCTACCGCTGTACTCTTCCACATTCATAAGTAACGTTCTCCTTGTAACATGCATCCCTCCTCATAACATGCCCATACCATGCTAACCTTTTACTCTTTACCTTGTTAAGTACTAATTAAAATTCAAATGGATGGATATTACTACAAATCTCCAGAATAATCTCTGACATTTGTTTGTTTGTAGAAGTCTACAAGGACACACAAATAACTAAGTTTTTTTTTAAACTCCGCGCAGTAGGCGACAAACTAATTCGTTATAAAAATGACGGAAGAGGACTGTTTCAAATTGTCACGTAAATACGTCAAAATGGACATTTTGTTTACATAAAATTTCTAGGTAATTTCTGTAGGATACCTGAAACAGAGCTCTGTAAAGTAGACTTTTGTCTGGCAGCTGCCTGTAGTGCAGCACGCGGTCCAGCGACTGCGCAGCCAACATCCTGGCGTTGCGGCCCAAGTTGTACCCTGACAAGTACAGTTAGGGAAACTCGCGGTGTACCAACAAGCTAGTTGTTTAATGTTTTTTACGGAAAAATAACCAATATGTACAGTCGCGGAAATACTTCAGGAAACCTTAATGGCAAAAAAACAAACTTCGCCTCTTCCTATAGAGGTAATTCCAAATTTCAAATTTGTAACACCATTGCAAATGCCTTAAAATTATGATTAAGCATGAAATTGCGTAAAAAAGTGAAGTATTCAACTATCTATAATTTGTAAACTGCTGGATATAATTAAAAGATATTTTGGAAATAAGATAAATTCCGGTATATCTATTGATTTTCAAAATTTCAACCTTCTATTTTAATTCATAACGAAGTTACAAGGGGGTCAAAAGTGCTCCTAAGCGCTTCGACAAATAGTGTTTGGCTTTGCTCATCTCAGCGGAAGAAATTTTTAAATTGCGGCTTTGTATAGATATGACTAACAAATAAAAAAACTAATTAACAAATTAATGGAAGCCAATTATAGTTTAATTAATCACTAAATATTTGAAAAGAACTAACCTCTTAAATACTCTGACATAGGGAATCCATGTTCTGATGTTCCACATCCATAGTCCCTTTGGAACACGTCGAACAGATCTGCATCCACCTTCTCCGTAAGGAGGTGGTAGCAGCACGGCACGTTGAACAGAGCGGTGGTGGATGTTTGTGATGAAAATATCCTGAGAGAATCAGGACCTAGGTTTCCACATGTGTGTAGACCTGAAGCGTTTAGGACATCTATACTAATATGACGAAACATTTGTATTTTTTTATATAACTTAAAATTGTTGGACCAATTTAAAAAATCATTACCTATTAGAGAACAACCTTAACACTAAGTAACACAGGCTAGATTTATAATTAGTTTTTTTTAATTCCACTGGAAAATGTCAGTCTTATATGTTCTTTGTGTGCAAGGACATAACAGAAAACTTCTTGAGTTAAAATATTTGAAACTTTACTTTTTTCCAAACTAGATGGCGCTATTATCAATCGATTTAAAAACATTTTGAACAAGTGACAAAAAATATATTTAATCGAAGAACAGTGAGCAAAAGTCAATTTAATTGGAAATCTAATTTTTAATGGATTACTATTCATTAAAAATTAGATTTCATTTTTACATTAGATACGTTTTTTTTAACTTGTTCAAAATGTCAAATTTTTAAATCGATTGATAATAGCGCCATCTAGTTTGGAAATAAGTACAGTTTCAAATATTTAAGACAGAATTAGACAAAAATTACCTGTTAAAAGAACTTTGTAATCATTTTCATAATGTTCAGGAAACGCCTCTTTCATGATTTTAGCTACATTCGTTTTGTTTGTTATAAAAGATGTGGCAAAACGGTGTATGTTGCATTGTTTGTTGTCAATAAATAATTCCTCATTCCCATTCGTTATCTTCTTAGCAATAGCCCTCCATTGCTTCTGTAATACATACAAAACTTGTATAAAACCTGCCTTTGCACTTAGGAAGCATCCATACAGAAACCATATTCTTTTATTATTTAAAAAAACTCAGTTTAAGATAAAAAAAATATTAATTGCACAAAGGCTGGACTTAAGGCTTTAATATGATTCAAGTTTCTTTATTGCATACAATAAAATTGAAGCAAAAGTGTTTGTTTTTGTTTAAATTTGGTATGAAACTAGCATCATGTTAGAACAAAGCATAAGGCAAAGTAAACTTTTTGAAAATTGAACTTTAACAGATTGGAATAAGGTTTAATTTTACTTTACATTATTTTCTTTATCAAGTCCAAGTAAAAATCATTCCCTAGCATGCTTATACTCATCGACTCATATTACGTTCCGGGGCAAGATATAAACGTCTATACTTGAATGTTGTTAAGAAAATCGGGCAACACTAGATTGTCATTAACGTCCCATCCCTATGACAGCTGTCAATGTCATTCTGACGTATTAAATTAGCGCGCCATTTTGGCGGGAGTTAGTGGTCTGAGTGTTGTAATTGCTGTGTTACAACTTACAACTACATTGAAATTGAAATAATTTATTGAAAAATAACAGATTAACAATTAACAATAACAGTTATAACCAATTAAAAGATAAATACAAATAGTGGTTAAAATGCGATTGATATAGTGACGCCCACGATGCAGGCATTGCCTAGTGATGCCCACACTAGGCAATGCCTGTATCGTGGGCATCGAAAACAGCAGGAAAAATATTTTTATACAATAATTATTAAAAACCTACGCTTACGGCGTTTCGGTATTATTATGAATTTATGAAAGAAAAATAAATATGCAAGATGATATATGATATATGTATAGAATAAAAGTATATATAAAAATATATATTAATGTTGAAAAATATGAAGATTTTTATAATTCTATACATACTTGTATAATCTTAACTCTATCCGCTGCATTTTTGAGAG